TTTTTTATTTTTGTTTTTTTTGTTTGTTATTGTTTATTTTTGTTTCTTATTTTTGTTTGTTTGTCTTATTTGTTTATTTTGTTTGTTTATTATTTTATTGTTTTTTTGTTTGTTTGTGTATAAGTAGGGATATGAAGGTAAATGTATAATTAGTGAAAGGTAGAAGAAAAAAAGGTGTAGAGGATGGTAAGAGAGGTAGAAAATGGAGGATGAAGGATGGGGAGGAAATGAAGGAGGAAAAGGTGGAAAAGAGAGAGAGTGGAAGAGGTGAAGAGAGAGAGGAGTGGAAGAGGTGAAAAAGAAGGATTTTGGAGTCGTAGAAGAGGAAAAGAGGGAACAGAGGGGAAAGGAAGGAAAGATAAGGTGGAAGTAACGACGAAGGGGGAAAATCAGATAAAAAAGAGAAGGGGAAAAATGGGGAGGGAATGAAGAAAAGATTGGGAGGGGAAGGTAAAAGAAAAAGAGGGTGGGGAGGGGGAGAGGGAGGGAAGGGAGGGGAGAGGGAGAGGGCGAACGAGGGGAAAGGGGGGAGGGGGGAGAGGGGGAAACGAGGGGGATGGGAGGGGAGGGGAGAAGGAGAGCGAGGGAAGGGAGGAGCGTAAAGAGGGAGGGGGACGAGGAGGGAAGGAGAAGGTGGAGGAGAAGGAAAAAAGGGGAAAACAGGCTGAGGGGAGGGGAGAAGTGAATGGAAATGTTTGCATTCTGACTTCAAGGTGAGAGAACAGAGCGGACGCCACGAGAAAGGTCTTGAGAGCAGAGAATTAAGTAGTGTAAACGAGGAAGAGGAGGAGAAGAAGAAAAGAAGGAGGAAGAAAATCGTGAAGAAAAAGGTATAGACGGAGAAGAAATAACCGGAGAGAGAAGAAGAAACACGGAAAAGCACAGAAGAGACACAAAACACATGACACATACACACACACGCACACACACAACACACACATACACACACACACATATATATATATACACACACATATATATAGTGAGAAGAGAGAGAAGAGAAGAGAAGAGAAGAGAGAGAGAGAGAGAGAGAGAGAGAGAGAAGAGAGAGAGAGAGAGAGAGAGAAGAGAGAGAGAGAGAGAGAGAGAGAGAGAGAAGAGAGAGAGAGAGAGAGAGAGAGAGAGAGAGAGAGAGAGAGAGGAGAGAGAGAGAGAAGAGAGAGAGAGAGAAGAGAGAGAGAGAGGGGTAAATAGATAGATAAACAGAAAGGTACAAAAAAAAAAAAAAAAAAAACAGAGAAAGTTAGACGCATACACAGACAAACAGAGAGAGAAAGCGAGACAGCAGACAGAGAGAATGAGAGATAGACAGAGAGAAAGAAAAACGGAAAAGAATCAAAAGAGAAAGAAGAAGATGGAGGTCGCTGTTTCAGAAACGACCTCAAGTTTCCTTTGTGCGTCTGAGATGTGTCTACTTCAGGAAAGCGAGGGAGATCAGAGACGAAAAGAGAAAGAGACAGAATAGATGAAAGAGGAGGAGGAGGAGAAGGTGGAATTGGGAGTAAGGAGGAAAAGGGGAAGGAGGAGTGGGAAGAAGAGATGAGGAAGAAAGAAGAGAAGGTGGAAGTGAGGGAGGAGGGGGAGGAGGGAAAGAAGAAAAGGGGAAGAGAAAGAGACAGAATAGATGAAAGAGGAGGAGGAGGAGAAGGTGGAATTGGGAGAAAGAGGGAAAAGGGGAAGAGGAGAGGGAAGAAGAGATAGGAAAGAAGGAAGAGAAGGTGGAAGTGAGGGGGGGGGGGAAAGGAGGAAAAAAAGGGAAATAGAAGAGGAAAGAAAAGAAAGATGAAGAGGAGAAGCAGAAGGTGGAATTGGGAGAAAGGAGGAAAAAGGGAAGAGGAGAGGGAAGAAGAGATGAAAGAGGAGGAGGTGGAAGTGAGGGGAAAGGAGGAAAAAAAGGAAAAGGGAAGAGAAAGAGATAAAATAGAATGGGAGAGGAGGAGGAGAAAGGTGGAATTGAGAGAGAAAGGAGGAAAGGGGAAGAGGAGAGGGAAGAAGAGATAAGGAAGAAAGGAAGAAAGGTGGATGTGAGGAGGAAAGGAGGAAAAAAAGAAAAGGGGAAGAGAAGGAGACAGAATAGATGAAAGAGGAGGAGCAGAAGGTGGAATTGGGAGAAATGAGGAAAATGGGAAGAGGAGAAGGAAGAAGAGATGAAAGAGGAGGAAGAGAAGGTGGAAGTGAGGGGAAAGAAGATAACGGAAAAGGGGAAGAGGAGGAGATAGGGGAAGGAGAAGAAAAAAACGTGAAGGTGGGGAGGAAAAGAAAAAAGATGAAGGTGGAGATGGGAAAGAAAAGAGAATGGAGGAGGTAGAAGAGAGGGGAAAGAAAAGAGAATGGAG